ACATCTATCATAATGCTTAGTCTCTGCCTGATGTCTAGGAAGTAGTTGTGCGAATACAATACTTGTCAAGACTTCCATTAGGCATATACTCGAGCACTAAAGCCTTAAAATCAAGGTTGGAACAACTAGTGATGACTTTCACGAGATTCCTATGGCGAAGGCTACGCAAAACTTCACATTCTGTATCGAAACTCTTGAATGCTGCTTCCAGTTGCAGATTGAACACTTTAACTGCAATGGCAGTTCCACTTCTGAGAACGCCTTTGTAGACAGAGCCAAAACTTCCAGAACCAATCAGATTACTCTCGCCAAGCGTATCAGTTGCTTGGAGCAGTTCATAGTATGAAATTCTTTCTGTTGTTACAATACACAATGAATCAGCTTGTTGAGGAGCTCTTTTACCTCTTCTATACCTTATCCATATGAACAGAAAGGCTATAGGAACAAATACAAGTGCAATTCCCAGCATAAGAAATAGAGCAAACATTTGTTTCCTATTTGATCTGTGCTTTGATGAAGTGGGGCATCGCGGGACACTAAATCTTGAAGAACCACACAATGCTTCATTGTCGCTGAAAAACTGACTCGAGAGGTTCTTGAAAGGACCCCCCAAGGGTATTTCACCATACAATTTGTTGTCAGAAACATTGAAATACTTGAGGTATTGTAGTTTCTCCAAAGACATGGGAATAGTTCCCGATATATTATTATGTGAAATGTCTAGGAATTCCAAACTTACCATGTTGCTGATTGAGTCAGGTATAGATCCTTGCAACTTGTTGTGTTCCAAATAAAGATATACCAGATTTTGCAATCCTCCAATTTCTCTAGGAATTCCATTTGTGAATTGATTCATTGACAGATCCATATATATTGCAGCCTTTAGATTTCCAATTTCCAGAGGTAAAGAACCAACCATGTTGTTTGACGATAAGTCAAGAACCACTAGATCTTTAAGATTTCCTAAGCTTGTTGGTATATTGGAACTCAATTTATTGGAAGTAAGATATATCAATCTAAGGGAAGTAACATTCCCTAAACAATTAGGAATAGATCCTGAAAGTTGATTTTGTCCCAAGTAAATTTCTCCCAAATGTTGCAATTTACATAAATTATCTCCAATAAATCCCGTAAGCTTGTTGTAACTCAAGTTGAAGCGCTGAAGGCTTCTCAAGTTGTGAATTGATGTAGGAATTGATCCAATCAAGTTATTATCAGAAAGATCAAGGTTTAATAAGTTGCTTAAGTTTCCAACTTCATTTGGAATCTTGCCGTTAATGTTGCAAGCATCGGCATAAAAGGTTAGAAGAGATTTGGAGAAGTTCCCTACGGAGACCGGAAGCATGGCATTTAGAGGGTTGAAAGATAGAGAAACAACTGTTAATCTTGTGCAATTGGTTAAGGAAGTGAGGAAGCTTAAAAATGAATCACTGGTTAAATTGTTTTCTCCGCAAGTTTAAGATGTTTAGATGAGTCAAATATCCAAGAGAATTGGGAATCAATCCTGTGAGTTTTGTTTTGTGAAAGCTCTAGAATAGTAAGCTTTGAACAATTGGAGATAGAATGAGGAATAGTCCCAACAAGATTGGTTAAGCCATGCAGATAAAGTCCTTCAATGTTGGGTAAGGTAGAACCTATGTTTGGTGGTAGAGTTCCTGATAGATTATTGTTTGTAAGAGCAATATGTCTCAATCGTGATATGTTGAAGATCTCCATTGGAAGTGAACCACTAAAACTATTAGATCCAAGACCAAGCTTCTCCAACTCAACGAGATTTCTTATCTCTTTGGGTATTTCACCTGAAGAAAGAATGAGTTTACCTCTTAAACTGTTCAGATTGCTATCACTTAAATTGAATGTATACGTACCAGTAAACCTATTCTCGTCTAGAATTAAAATTTGCATCTTGGTTAAGTTGCCAATCTCGCGTGGTAAGGATCCCTTGAGATTGTTCGTCCGTAGTGAAACC